GAGATCAGAGATTTAGCAAGGAGATTTTAAAAATATGTTTCATAGATAATACTGAAGGTGACCTAAATAGAGTAATGAAGAAGAGTTTATAGAATGATAAGAACTGTAATGAGATGACTTGAGGCTGTGAGAAAAAAAAAAAAAAAACTTTAGGAAATAATGTGGGTGGCTGATTGAAGCTAGGGAAAAACAACTATATTTAGTTTGAAGTTATCATACTTTGATATCAATTGAGTATTAACAGCATACCAAGCATTAAAAAAAAAACTATTATTCTTTTTTTAAAAAATTATATAGCAAAATGTTCTTTCTTCCCAAGAGCCTTGAAATGGTGCATGCAACAGTTTCATTCAGTGGTGGTAATTTTCAAGCAAGAAGATTCATAAAAAAAATAAAATAAAATAAATAAGTTAAACTGGAAAAAATTGCAAATAAAAGATGACAGTCTTCATTTTTTCTATATACACTTCCTTTTCTCCCAGCTTACTCTTCCTGATAGAGTGAGTTGGTAGATGGAAATATCTCTTGCAATATAATATGTGAGGTTTGTACCTGAAAGTTGAAAGAAAAATTTAAAAGAAAAAATATATTAATACTCTTAATATGAAAGTTTATTGTTATGGAAAGAATCTAGGATATAATAGGTCAGAAGTCTATTATTCAATTACTTCAATAAGTCACAAGGGAGGGTGACTTTTTAAATGTTAGTTTTGTCATAACTAAAATTGAGAAAATGATCTTATATCTCAAGTAATCATGGTAATAGTTAAGTATTTACTTATAGATGTTGAAAGATACTAGTTTATTTCTACCTTTTCCACATACTCTCAGGTTAAATGAAATAAATAAAAGGCAAAGAAAAGAATATATAATCACTAAGCAAATAAAAGGAATAAGAAGAAAATACAGACTTATTTTTCCATCCTCCATTTTCCTAATTGGGAAAATAAAAGAGGAAAGAGGGGATTCCTTCTATATTCATTTTTATTTATCTCCTTCAAAACTGAAAATTACTTCTTATATATCTAGTCCTATAGCCATTTGTTCAGGAGTTTTGTTCATAAATTTCAAGGGAATACATAGATTAGAAGTGGTTACAGGGTAGCTGGGTGTGGAAACATCAGAAAAGATAGAGCTTTTTATCTCGGTTGCTGCATTGCACTGTGGCATACTGAACTCACACAGGATGCTTCATCCCACCCTTTATGAAGTGAGCTGAAAGAGAATTAGAACAATAAACAATAAAAACAAATCCAGGTCAAAAGATTTAATTACTGACTATAGTTTCATGCAATGTATGTAACGGAAAGGAGAACCCAAAAGAATAGAGCTTGTAATCGTAGTGAAGAGATTATTTTAGGGAAATTTTTAAATAATGTCAAAAGGAAAGAGATATGAATTTGAGAAACAAATTAAAAGAGATTGGAATCATTAAAGAAATGGTAACTGTTGATCTTTGTTACAGCAGTTCAGAGTCAAAGAAGAAATAATAAGAGATTATTTATACAATTGTTGGCAGATTCAATTTTCGATTTCAAAGTGAATTTCTTTATCCTGAAATTTATGACTTTACTTCCATGAATAGTATCAGAAAGAGACACTTTTAGTACTGAAAGAACAGTCATACTTGAAATAAGCAAAGAACGTTGCAACAATTTTTTTTTTTTTCACAAACTGTGTAGGATGACATTTCTTTACAGATCCTCTTTTGAAAAAGAATGTCAATTGTACTAAACTGGGGCAAATACTTTGAAATGACTGCTGTTTTCAAATGATTATGATTACTGCTGAACAAACATATTCAGAGAAATCAAGAAATGAATCTTCTTTTTTCTTGTAAAATAATACCAAACTTGAATCAAATTCTTAGAGAAAAAAGTTAATGTAATCATTTTTCCTTTCTTATTACTATAATTTCTTTGATAGTGACAAATCATATGGAGAATAACTGACCCAAATTCAAGTTTAAAAAAATGTACATTGTTTTTTTTTAAAAAAACTTACATTTCAACCAATTTTTGAACTGGATAAATATCCATACATGGCAAGTACTATTTAAGATACATAAGTAAAGATTACCCTAGTTTGCCAATTATTGGACAGCAGTCTTTGTTAGCATGCCTTAGAAGGCACACCATTAAATAGGCTTTGACAACCACTCAAAAATACTTTTAAAGCAAGAAAGACTAAAAGCTTGTTTTGACCTTATAACTGTGTCCCTCATAGTATATATAATACCAAGGATCATGAATATAATTCAGGAGTTATTCATAAGGTCACCATGAATCAAAGCCAACTTGAAGGCAACTAACAACAACAATAAAATTGTAATAGAGTTGTTGCGGGGGGGGAAAAAGCTATTTGCTTTTTTCTTCAAGGGTACAAGTGTGAATTTTGAAATTGTCCCTAGTGGACAATGACTGGCACAGTTTTGGAGGAATTGTGCTTTTGGACAAGTATACTTTTGGTATTCAATAAAAACCTTAACTGCTTACTCTTTGATATATACTAGTAAACAGAGCAAATGTTACCTACACTCTCATAGACCCTACAGGCTGGTATAAGTTGTGAGAACAGCTATGAATGAATGAATCCTTTCTGCATAGACCAATCACATCATTCATACAGTCAATATTAGTTGTTCTTTAGTTTAGCCAAAGTATCATTTTTTCTTAATTTTTTTTTTTTATTATGTCTTCATGAACTTAATGAGTAAATAATAATAACTAATATATAGGCTATAATGCATAATTTATGTAATTTACAAAGCAATTGCCTGCAGCCTGTAAATGGTGAATTAATCAGTTCTGCATTATCACTGCAGATCAGACTATAGATATAGAAAAAATACATATACAGATTATGCAAATGTACATGTATATAGCTGTTTATTTATAAACACTGAAATAAGTCAAATCATCAGTGTGGATGCATTCCTTTTGGAATGTCTATGCCTGTCAACGTCTAACTGCTAAAAAGCTCAGCATAATCTTTTCGTTATAATAGAAACATTGGAATCATTTTATGAGTAAAACCAAGGTACTCCAAAGTTTTATTGAGATGAAAATCTTCCATTCCTAACTTCTATTATAAATGTAAATAAATAAATGACCTCATTGCCATGGAGTCAGTTCTAACTCCTGGTGACTTTTGTGTACAGACTAGAACTTCTCCATAGGAATTTCAAGGATTTGACCTTCAACAAGTGTACCTCCAGGACTTTCTTCCTAGGCATCTCTAGTGGGTCAGATCTGCCAAACTTTCTATTTGCATTTTAGCACTTAACCATTAGTGCCATCCAGGAACCTAAGGCATTTGACTGCTAACCAGAAGTCTGGCAGTTCCTACCCTCCACCCACTGTTCAGAAGGAAGGTTGTGCAATCTACTTCTGTAGTAATACTGCCAGGGAAAGCCAAGGAGGGGTCACTATGAGTCGGATCCAACTCAAGGAAATGAGTTTTTGTGAGTTTTGGGACTCTTAACTCTTATTACGTTGTTGTTATGTTGTTATGTTCCATCAAGCCAACCCAACTCATAGAGACCTCTCCTTGGGTTTCCAAGGTAGTATCACTA